AAAGGAATTTTTTAATAAATCGGTCAATTTTAGGCCGTTTTCGATGATTTATATATCAAAATGAAGCTGATAATGAGTTCTTTCAGTTTGTCCTAAGTCACCAGAGCAATTAACCTAGTAAAATATTGAGATAACATGAATAGAAGCGTTTTTTAGTTTGTTAAATATATCTCTGTTGAAAAGGAACTTAAAGATATAAAACTTGGCCACCTAAGTGTAAAATTGTGTTAGGAACAACTTTACTTAGACATCCAAAAACAGTTTACTTAATAAAATATTGAGTAAGAGTCAAATGTTTGTAGCAGAAATTTGGTACAAGTGATCGTCAGAAAGAGTTAATGATTTGCGTCTTTTCTGTAAAATTTTGCTTATATAGTATCCTATCTTTAGTTATAACTCTAAGTCACAACTTTATAAATACATATTTCATAAATATGAACCTCTCTAAATACACTGTTCAAGTTTAAAAATACTTTATATATTTTGTTTTATATAAATAAAAATTCTTTTATTTTAAATTTTTTTACTAATGATTTTGAGAATAGTGCATTTAAAGAGTTGTAACTATATATTTTTTTGATCTTTTACTAATAGCTGTTTTTGAACTTTATTTTAAAGAATTAGCATTTCTTTTTTTTATACTAAATAAATTATTTTTTCTAAAAGCTTGATTTTTTTTACAGATTTATCCTTTTTTAAATCTTGAATAGAAGCAAAAATTAGAGGCCTTTTTATAAACTATATTATAGTTATATAGAAGTTTTTTATTTTATTTCTGTTTGTTACTGCAATTATTTTTTGCTAAACATTTTTTTAGGTCCAATTAAGTAAATTTTTTTTAAAATCTTTTTGTATTAAATAATTTGCTTTTGATTTATTATTGGTATAGTTCAATTTTAATAATAGTTCTTGTATTTTTAAAGATAAGTACTAAATATATTTTTTTGATTTTATTAAGCTTATTAGTTATAAGCAGCTACTGCTTTTATTGTAATTTAATTATAGTTATATAGCTTATACAATATAAGTATGCAACTAGTTATATATAACTACACATGTTTCTGTGCATCTAAGTGCTATCTAACCTAACTAAAACCTTTTTGTCTATATATTCGTCAAGCCATTACATATTTTAGAGTATATTACTTAACTGTAAAGCTTTAGGTAGCTTTTCTGCTAACTAACTACCCATATTTAGTTTTTGTTAACAGGGCTCACCTTTACAAAGTTACCTAGACTCCAATACTTAATTTACAGCATATCTCTAATATCTATAGTATACTGTTTCTTTTGGACTAGACTTTCAATACAAATAGCCTGAATAGATTATTGTTATAAGCATAAATTAAATCGTCAAACTATAATCGAAATTAATGATCGAATGCATATTTGTTTGTATAGGCGCATTACTATAGGTAGCATATTTAGCACATTTGGCATATATAGGATATTCGGGACATTTAGCACATTTAGAACATATAGAACATTTGGCATATTTAGTAAATAGTATATATAGCAGCATTTATTCTAATGTAAAAGGCAAGAATGCCCACTTCTCGCATATACTTAATAAAGCATACACTTGGCTCTGCCAAATCAAACGTCCTCTTTCGATATATTATAGTACTATCATTGAACGTTATGCAAACCCTGTTCCGGTTTATCCTACAGAGTAGGAATTTTAAGGCATATGTTCTTAGCGTATTACATTTGGTGGATTACTATGAGATTCGTCTGTACCCCCCCTGATATAAAGAAAACCAAGAAGGCATGAATACTGGAGAAAGACATTAGGAAACAAGAAAGTAGACTACAAAATAATAAACAGATACACTTAAAGGATACAAAGAAGCTAAAAACTGTTAAAAGAAAAGACTAATACCTATAAGACTATTGGAAGTCAAAGACTAATGGATATAACTATCAATCGAAGTCGAAATTATAAGGAAAAGCCTAAGACATAATATAAAGAAAGGTCAAAAATTGAGACAAAAAAAAAGCAGGAACTTAATAAAGAAATAAGAGACGATTAGATTAAATAAAGAACAGAGCATCAAAAAAGAGCGCAGTAATTTTGAATACTTCCCTGACGTAACACAGCTTTAACAAAAGCAAGAAAAGGTCAAGAGTTCATTTTTGCAAGACCAACACATTAGAAAAACCAAATCAGCAACCTTACAATAAAAATAAGAGAAGCGTTTAAAGTATAAACCAATAATTACGTAACGCAAGTGTGATTCAAAAACTTAGAGAAAGGATCAGCAAACAAACTACTACAAACTGGAAAGTAACGAACATAAGCTTTAAGGATCTACAATAAAGAAAATAAGTAATAGTGATGAAGTCTGTCATAGAGATCGACACTTAAACAATAGAACAATAGAACACATATGTAATAAGCCGGAAAAATTATCCAAGTGATAGACTTGTTACAAACAAACTTCAGGACAATCATTATTAATCAATATATAAGCTAAATCGGTTCTAAAAAATCAAATATAAAAAAAAACCTCAAGAAAAATAAATTTTTATTTTTGTCTCCCTCTTAATTTCTTTCAGTAAACATGAACATACTTATTAATAAAAACTCAAAAATCTTAAAACTTACAGCTGAAAAAGTGCAAAAATTGTACAAACGCAAATTTTTTTTTTATTACATAACTTTCAAAGTGAGTAAACAAAAGAACCCTATAACTACCAAGGCCGCAAAGAGCACCTTCAGTCTTAGCATACAAGGATTGAAACAATTACCTCCACTACTGCTACTCACTGATGTGAAAACAAATTCTACAATGACAAAATTACCTGACAAGAAGGAAGTTAAAATGGATTCAACACAACTACAACTATTATTGGATAAATTTGCTCAGCAATTTGAAGATGCAACAAAAAGGATTATCAAGGCCAACATATCCAAAAGAAAGAACTTAACTTTATATTAATTAGAAAGTTCTATGGAAAAAAAAACGAAGACCTGATTGAATAGCTTGAAGCATTCGAACAAGCTGCGGAGACAAACAATTGGAGCAACGAAAGAAGAATCACAATCATCACCAGATATCTCAGCAATTTAGCAGCAGATTGGTACTGAGAGAACAAGACAAAGATTAAATACTAGAATGATAAAAATAACCAAGATGAAAGTTTTTTCTACTTACTGTCAACATTCTTTGCAACACCCGACTGACACCACCGTTGGCAAATATAACTGAATGCGCTAACACAAAAACCAGGTGAAAAAATCAACTCATATGCCACAAAATTCAAATGAATTTTACATCACATCAAAACTAGTAGAAAGCTACTCGCACCATATATTGTACATATGTTTCTTGGTGGTTTAAATGGAAAAATGGCAACATACATTATCATGACTGCCCCTACAACACTTGATGCTGCAATTTCTTGTGCAAAGAAGATTGAAGCTGGAGAATATTATGGCAACAATGGCCCAACAAGCACTGCAAAGTGATATGGAAACCCTAATAAAAGCAATGAATGAAATGTCAATTAATTACACCAATATAGTAACCTCGGGGCACAGTCAAAAAACTGGAATTAAAGAAATAATAATTATTATAATAATCAGCCTAATCAAAGGAATCAAAGCAACCAACACCCAAGAAACTCTGACATTGTATGTTTCAACTGCAATAAGAAAGGCCATATTGCACGTAATTGCACCCTTCCCAAAAATAATCAAAACCAGCAGAATGGATATTATAACAAGAATAATCAACCTAAAAAGATAAACTATTGTGATACAGCGAGGAAATCTACAGTAAAGAAGTATGGGAAGAAGAATTGTACAATGTAGATCAACCACAAAGAGGTCGACCACTGAAAAATGTGATGAACAATAATGATAACCAAGAATGAAAAAGAAAGTGAATAGTCTCCCTGCTCCCGATAAATATCGATGAAACAATGGCTCTGAAAAATAATATTGAAATAATCTCTTCTGGCCCTAAAAACCTAAATAAACCTCGAAGAAAAAGGGGACCATCGATTATTGATAAAGTCGAACCATACAACGTTGCCAACGATCTATTAACGATGAAAGCAAATGCCATGGTTGGGCAACTTTTACAATACCCAAATCAACGTAGGAACTTAGCAAAGGTTATAAGAAGGCCCCCTAATTCTAAGGAAGCAAACCTGGTAGACCCCCAACTAAATCAATGTACTACAGCTGTGAAATGCTTTGTTCATATCAGTGATGATCCTATGGTTGCAATATTGGATACAGGCGTAGCAGTCAGTATCATCACAAAAAGGCTGGCCGATCGATTGGGACTTGTAATTGATGAAGAATCAAAGACAGTAATTGTAACTGCAACAGAAGCAAGAGAACGAACCTTAAAAAAAATATCAAAAGTCAACGTTGACATTTCAAACGTAAGAATACCTACAGTTCTACAAGTCTTGGAATCGGTTGACGAAACATTACTGTTAGGAACTGATTGGTTCCATAAAGCTAGAGCCATGTTGGACTTTAATGAGCAAAAACTAGTCATCAGATATTTGGGAAAAAGGTTTGAAGTACCCATTATGCATATGGATAAAGGCAAGTGAAAAGAACAAATACCGGAAAATGATGAATCAGATGACTACGATGAAGACAATGCTAATGAATTGTTCGATAAGCTTGAATACAAAAGAGAAGAGCTTGAAGAACTTGAAAGCTTTTCATCTGATTGTGTTTTATCTGATAAAGAAAGTGCTGAAGAAACAAAAAAAAGTAGAAAAATGATGGAAATTGAAAGCCTGGCTGTATATTTGGCAGTAATGGAAGAAATTCCAACTGGAAAAAAGGTCTCTGTTGATGAAAAATCAACTATAGAAAAACAATTGAATAAGATCATAGAAGAAGGAAATGTTGACGACAAATATAAAGAAGAAATAAAGGAATTATTTAAAAACAACAGAACTTTGTTTGCAAATGGACTAAAAGAACTTGGATGAACAAACCTCGTGAAGCATGTGATCAAGACCCAAGAAGCTGAACCCATCAAGCAACCACCATACTGATTGGCCCCAAATGAACAAGAGTTTGTATAAGAAGAATTGGAAAAACTAAAGGAAAAGGGATTAATAAAAGAATCGTTCAGTCCATAGGCATCACCTATAGTGTTAGTGCTGAAAAAAAATGAAAAATTGAGAATGTGCATCGATTATAGGCACTTAAACAAGGTAACGAAAAAAGATGCGTACCCCATCCCCCACATCGACGACCTTCTCGAAGCTTTTGGTAGTGCTCAATGGTTTAGTAGCTTGGACCTTGCTAATGGCTACTGGCAGGTCCAAATGAATGAAAAAGACTGTGAAAAAACTGTATTCATCACAAAATACGGAACATTCGAGTTTACGGTCATGCCATTCAGTCTCTGTAACACCCTGGCGACGTTTTAGAGACTGATGGATAAAATCTTGGGTCTTTTTGTTGGTAAATTCGTCGCAGTTTATCTCGACGATATTAACATTTACTTTCATACTTTCTCAGAACATATTAATCACTTGAATCAAGTTTTTCAATTAATTAGCAATGCAGATCTTAAATTGAACTTAGAAAAGTGTCAATTTTTTTTACAAAACCTACATTTTTTAGGCCACATAGTTGGCAAAGATGGAATTCAACCAGACAAGGCCAAAGTGGACAAAGTACAAAATTTCCCAGTGCCCTGCAACATATGACAACTATGAGGATTTTTGGGTTTATCTTCATACTACCGCAAATTTATTAAAAATTTTGCAACAATTGCAAAACCCCTGCATCAATTATTACAAAAAAATAAACAATACAACTGGACTAATAATCAACAACAATCCTTTGATACTCTTAAACGACATTTGATTTCTGCCCCAATCTTGCGTTACCTGAATTTCGAACAATAATTTTTTCTGCACACCGATGCCTCTGGAGTAGGCTTAGGTGCCATTTTGGCTCAAGTCGGAAATGATCGTAAAGAATACGTTGTTGCTTACACATCGAGAAGTCTCACTAGGCCAGAATGCAACTACTCTATGATGGAACAAGAGTGTCTTGCTATTATTTGGGCAATTGAAAATTTTCACCACTACTTTGGCTATAGGCCACTTACTGTTATAACTGACCATTCAGCATTGAAGTAGTTGAAAACTTCAAAACTGAAAGGCCATTGTGCCCACTAGATCCTCTGTTTGCAACTATATAATTACAGTATTGAACATCGCCCTGGGCAAAAACACTCTAACGCAGATGCTCTTTTCCGCATTTAAAAAAAAAAAAAAAAAAAAAAACAAACAACGAAAAGAAAAAGAAAATCTGGACCTAATACAGCCCAGGTTATCAGTGTCTTGGCACCCAAATAATAATAATAACAAGAAATCAAAAAAAAAAAAGAACTCAAAACACTACCATCAACTAAGACGATATATAATGGAACAACATTTGCCATCAGACTTGAACAAGCAAGAGCAACTAGGAATAGTCTCAAAATCTAAATTCTTCAAAGTAAAAGGAAACATGTTATATAGAAAAGATAGACGAGAAAAAGAAAATTGGTTAAAAGTTGCACAAGCATTCTAAATAGAGCCTATATTATTTCTTGCATACAATCATCCCACCGGAGGTCACATGGGTCAAAAAGCGATGTTTGATAAAATAAGAAGGTATTATTTTTGGCCCCAAATGTTCGAAGGAATTAAAGAATATGTAGGTACATACGATACATGTCAATGACGTGAAAGAACAAGCTCCAAGAACCTCTGCACCCGATACAAGTGGACTCACCATTTTTTCGAATCGGCATCGACATTGTAGGGCCCTTGCTCATAACACCCCAGAATAAAAGATATATAGTCATGGCCACTGACTATAGTCAAAATGGCCCGAAGCAAGAGCACTTGAAAAAGATAATGCAATAGAGGTTGCTGAATTCATATATGAAGAAATAATTTGCAAGCATAGGTGCCCGCAATACTTAGCTTCGGATCGTAGCACACACTTTAGGAACAAATTGATCACAGCACTGTTAAAAAAATTTCAAATAATACACAAACTGTCGACCCTCTACTATCTACAAAGTAATGGCCTTGTTCAACAATACAATAAAACACTTTGCGAATCATTGGCGAAGACAATACAAAATGTTACTGAATGGGATCAATTTATTCAACCGATCCTATTTTCTTATTGAACTGCAAAGCAAAGTTCAACAAGAATGACACCATTCTTTTTAGTATATGGAAGGGAGGCCCGTTTGCTCCTGCACCTCAGAAATACCTCTGATATTCTAAATGGCACTATAATTTAGAGAACTTTCAATTTATTAAACAAAATACCGGAACAATGAAATAAGGCACTGAAACAAATATGATCAGCACAAGTGAAACAAAAAGAACAATATGATCAACACATTAACATTACACCTGAATATCAGATAGGTGATAAGGTCTTATTGTTAGATGCAGCGCACCAGATGTCCCGTAGCCACAAACTAAACCAAAAATGAAAAGGTCCATTTTTTGTACATAATGTTTTGATCAACGGGTCTTATAAATTATGAACGTTGGATGGGAAAGTTCTGAAGTCACCCACCAACAAAGCACAATTAAAAAAATACCTGGAAGCCTAACGAACGACCTAGTATAAGGAGACAACAGAATAAAGAAGGAGTCTGAAAGAGGCATTGAATAAGGAGGGGAGAGAATAAAGAAGCAAAAAAAAAAAAATAAATAAATAAAGAAGTAATAAAAAAAAAAAAAAAATCAACAAAAACAAAAACATACAAGAGAGAAAGCAAAAAGAGCAAAAGAAAGTTAGGAGAAGAAAGTACATAATAAGAGAGAGAATAAGAAAGAAATAACAAAAAGAAAAATTGAAGATGAATTTTTCTTTTTATATCAAAAAAAAAAAGCTTAAATTTAAGCATGAAGATGATGCATACAATGGATGAAATCATTAATGACCTATTGGAGATAAACCCACGTGAGGTCTTGACTGCACCCCCACCTTATGACGAAAGACAAACTTTAAACAAAAAAGTAGAAATAACCTACTGACATGTATTAAGAAATACAAAATTCAAGAACCGTATCGGAAGCTTAGTCTATAGTTTCTATTTAGAGAAACTTCTAGATGAAGCAAGCTCAGACCAACAGACCGAACATCGAAAGAAACTTACGAAACACTATTACACAGCTGCAAAAAGAACTTACTGGTTATTTGAAGTGTACGGATTGGAACAAATATACCGAACTAAGAAACTAAACTAACTGACCTTAGAACTATGAAGGCAGACAACTTTCAAGACTTAATGTAGTTTGTAGAATGAACAAACTAAGTAGGGAAAAAATGTTATAAGCATAAATTAAATCATCAAACTATGATCGAAATTAACGATCGAATGCATATTTGTTTGTATAGGCGCATTACTATAGGTAGCATATTTAGCATATTCGGCACATATGGGATATTTGGGACATTCAGCACATTTAGAACATATAGAACATTTGGCATATTTAGTAAATAGTATATATAGCAGCATTTATTCTAATGTAAAAGGCAAGAACGCCCACTTCTCGCATACACTTAATAAAGCATACACTTGGCTCTGCCAAATCGAACGTTCTCTTTCGATACATTATAGTACTATCATTGAACGTTACGCAAACCCTGTCCCAGTTTATCCTACAGAGTAGGGATTTTAAGGCATACGTTCTTAGTATATTATACTATAATCTTTTTCTAGTATATCAGAGTTGCAACATCTAATATTTCTTTCTTTTAGTTCAAAACTTAGTAATTTTCAAAACTATCATAATAAAAATACTAAAAGTAAAATTAACTTTGACACCTGTTTTATTTATAATTATAATAAAAGTTCTAAAGATTTAATGCCTATCTAGCTTGACAATAAAAAAGACATTAATTAAAAAAAATTTTTAGTTGTATCTTTATTTGCTATCTGGTTACCAAATTTGTAGTTCTTATTATAGCTATTGTTAAAGATCAGTTATCTACATTTGTGTCTGCACAAAATAAGATTTATAATAAAATGTCTATTTCAATATTACTAATTAACCTATTACTAAGTGATTAAATTAAAAAACTGACAAATGTGTTATATACAAAAAGATATGATAATATAATACTTAACCTTAATGAGTTTGATAAAATGCTTGTAAAAGTTGACCCAAATCTAAAAAATTTTTTGTTAATATGTATACAATATTAATACTACAGAACTACTTACTTTATAATAAAAAAAAAAATAAAAAAGATTGTTGCAATCTTATATTTAATAACAGAAAATACTTAATAACAGGAATAATAATAAGCATGTTAATAATTTTAAACTAAAGCTTGCTTTGTATTTTACAGCTTCTGGTACAACTTGTAATACAACTAATACTTTAAACAATACTGAAATTTTAGTTATTTATTAAACAGAATACACAGTAACTACAAAAAAAATTATTAGTAAACATTTAATAAGAGTAAAAAATATTTTAATAAAAATAAAAATCTTTTTTGCATATACAACCTGAATAATTATTATAAACATTTATGAAAATTAATATTTAGATAATACATTTCTTTTGAATACAGTTTATTTAACAATATATGTATTCAAAAAAGTTAAAAAAGCAAATTTTATGTCAGTTATATTTAATAATAAGTCTGTTTATAATTTAAATATGTAATATTGATGCATTTATTATTTGTAAAAGACTTATTAATTAATACTAACATTGCTTTAATTTGTTATATTCTCAATAGATGACTTAATAAAATAGTTTGTCTTTTTCTAATTTTGATAAAATAGATCAGCTTTCAATATATTTTTATAATAATAATATTAAAGAATAAAAAGATGAATACAAAATAAAAGATGCAATCTTAGTAGAAATAATAGAACAACAGCTACATTTCAGCAAGATTATCTAAATATGCTTAATATTATCTTAGACTATAATAAAAAAATAGGTCATCTTAATAGTAATGTAACACTAATCATCACTGACTGGCTAGGTTAGCATTATATTCATCAAGTACTTACTTATTTTTATAACAAAAATGATACTTCATTACCAAAAGAAATAGTATTATTTGTTCCTTTGCTTGGAGCCTTGTATATCACACTTAATACAAAAGAGCAAATAATGAAAATTTATTATTTATTTTTTAAAAATTCATCTATTTTATATCTAGAAAACAAAAATTTCTAACAAAAAAGCCTAGATTATAGAAAACAAATCTTCTGCTTAGGTTGACATTTACTTTATAGGTAGAAATTAAAGAGTAATTGTAAGAAAGTTTATTTTTCTATAAAAAAATATTAAGTATCAAGTCATTATAGAATTTTAAACAATATTATACCTGTTTCTCTTGATATATATGCTCTATTTTTCAATTCAGATTATTTAATAACTATATAAAAACAATTTCTATATATGAACATTCAATTTGTAATAGTATTGCAAAAATTATAACAAAGCTCTATTGGTGTTTTGTTGAATCAATTCTATTAGAAAAATTGAACATATAATTAGAGCTAATAATACACAAAAAACAGGCTTATTTATGGAATTTTTATAAATATTCAACTTTCTATAAAATTTTTTGAATACAAAATGATATCTATATTTACTACAGGACCTAAAATTTTTAACTACTAAAATCTGTATTTTTCTTATATTATAGTTTTAAAACATTTACAAAAAAAATAAGAAAACTATTTTAATTAGCAACTAAATCTCATCTTTATTAAAATGATGAAAAAAAAGAATTACCTATTACATATAACCTTCCTATTCTAGATGAAATAGAAATAACTAACATGCCAACCAGATATAGTGCATCATTTCCTTCCTTGTTCAATAATTGTAATCATTGTTATAAAGCATTAATTATAAATGATCAAACAATTATTCTAATGTGTGGACATAAGTTTCACCTAGAGTTCTATAATGTGATGAAAAAAATACAACATTGTTTAAATTACTACAAAAATGGTGTATAAAAAATATTAATGCATTTTTAAAAAGTCTAAATTCCAAAAAAAAATTTGATGAAGATTTGGATGACAATCAAGATGATATCAAAGATGATAATGATAATATAGAAGAAACAAAAATCAATCAGTTAAACAGACAGAAAACCATAGAATTAGAATTGTTTAATAAAATTAGTAAAATAAATAACTGATAAAAAAAAAATACATATAAACTTTTGAATTTCAAAGCTCGGATAAGTTTGAGAAATACATTATTAAGTATAGTAAAACTTATGCCAGGCTTGAGTGTTCATTGAGATATGATGTCGGTCAGGTTATTCTAATTGTTTTCTAGTAGGTATAAAATGGAAGGCTAAGTATACATTCAGCTTCTTAGTTTCGGATAGTATAAGTAGACTTTAGTTGAACATAAAAAGCCCTGTTTTTTAAAAAATATCATCATAGTAAAACTTTTATTAAATCTGATTATACCAGATTAAATCTAAAGATAGGTAGACGAACGAACTACCAAGAAGGTTGTGAAGTTTCGTGAACGATTAATATGCAATGTAACTTTGCATATAAGCAAAAATAGACCATTTATTATTTAAGCATTATATAAAAAAAATTTTGTCGATCAGCCAATCAAATGGATTTTTAATCATGCTGGTGTTAATTATTGCTCTGCGTGATGTCGGGATTTTATGGTAGAACCCTTTCCACAACTTTTTTGAAACGGATGTAAAAAAGAGTGTGAACAAAAGATTTCCATATACCATTTTGGTCAGAAATTCTGATTTAAGGTTGTTATTAGCTTGACCAAACCTGTATTATAAAATTTGATTATGAATAGAGCTGAACTGATAACATCCCTATTCTAATTAGTAAAATTTAAGATTCTAATTAGAGCAGGTTTAAAGATTTGAAAAATTTATGACATAGTGATCTAAAAGCAGCTACAATTTTTACTAATCAGAATTTTCAAAATTCTTCGATTTTTCTCACATGGTATTTTCTGAGAGTCAAATAAATGACCGATAATATAATGATTTATATTCGTTCATGCTTTTTGATAATTCTTTTAATTTTTACTAATTAGAATTCCTAAATTCTTTAATTTCCCAAATAGGTATATAGAAATCATTCATACCTTTTTGAAAAGGGCCGGAATTTATGAATCGAGAAATAAATTCATGTCAGATTAAATCAATTCGAGTTACAATATACTAAGCTATAATCTTCTATTTTTAACTTCTTAAGTTAAATTAAGGGAAAGTTATGAACATTACATTAACTTATGGACCTAAATGTGTGTTAGTAGAAATTGCCTTAAATTAACTCAAGTCATATTAGATTCGCATTAATTAAGTCGAATCTATAGATCGATTTTTGAGTTGTAAATCCAACTATATACTGGATAGTGTTTCAAAATCCACAATAGAAAATTTTATTTTCAAAGTTATGCTAAATATTAGTATTTAAATACTCTATTTACCTTTATTAGCTATAAAGATATAAATCGAAATATCATACCAAAATTTCTAATATTAATTAAATAGTATAAATATAAACAATATGCTAAATATATAAAGATTAATATTTAAATTATTGGAAGGAATATTAGAAGCAATATTATGAAAATTATTAGGAGAATTATTAGGAGCATTATTAGGAGCATTATTAGGATAATTATTCGGAGAATTATTAGGAGAATTATTAGGAGAATTATTGAGAGAATTATTGGGAGAACTCTTAGGAGGGTTAGAAATAGGACTAGGAATATTAGAATTACTATTTGGGTTAGAAATACTTGGAATGCTAGTGCTGAGACTATTGGATTTAGTGCTAGTGCTAGGATTACTAGGAGTCTTAGGATTACTAGGAGGATTAGATTTACTAGGACAACTACCAATACAAGTACACAATCCATTAGATGAACAAACAGTTAGCAACGGACAACATCCTCCAAATGAATCATTGCAACAAATATTGCCGATTTCACAACATCCTTCAGATAAACTGTCACATGCAAGATAACCGATTGGGCAAGTAGATGTGATAGCATTTGAATTTAATTTTGATCCAGAAGAGAATTGCGATGTATTATTCGGAAAAATTAGAGGTTGACTTTCATCTCTTTTCAATACTTGATTTGCAGAAACCAAACTAAGGGATATGATGACAAGTGCAATTATTTGAATTAAATTTTTCATAGTGATTTAAAGTAAAGTTATTAGTAAAGTGTAGAATAATTCAAATGTAAAAAGCTAAAAAGTGTGGAAGTTCTACAACTTTATTTAAATATTTAAAATATTTCGTAAATTATGCAATTAATTCTTTAAATATAAATTTTATGCAAATAATTTTCCCTAGGTAGCATTACTCTTATTAAATTTCCTCGTCGTTTTTATAACGGTAACAAAGATTTGTAATTTTTTTCTATACAAATTTCTAAATATGCTTATAAAAAAATGATAAATTAACTTAAAAAGGAATAATAAAAAAATATATTAAATAATTGACAATTATAACTATGTATCACTGCATTAGGAGATTAATTAAAATTTTTCAATGTCACACCATGATCAGATTTCTACAGTATATTTTATTATCGTCAATTTTTTATTACAAATCTTATTTTCTCGGGTTTTTTTGGAAGGTTGAAATAATATCTGTACGTACTGTGCATACTTACGTAAATGCATTTAATCAAAGACAAAGAAATGCGATAGAAATTCTTAGGGAATAGTATTATCATGTGTAGCATAGTTATTTGATACTGTCACCATCAAATGGAAGAGATCAAATACAGTATAGGTTACTACTTTTAAAAAAAATATTAAAGTCAGTTATCTTATAGTTATTTTATTGTAGCTATATTATAATTAATATTAAAAACCTAATTTAAAAGATTATATTATAATATATATTAATTGATTTAAATATTTTTAAAGATTTTAGGGTAACCGATACTATATTAGCTCCGATGGTTGGCGTACGAGAGATGCGGTATCTGATAATAAATTAGGGAACTCGGAATTTACCGAATTTTAAGGATTTTGTTCGCGCCACAAATCTGGTATACATAGCTTTAGATAAGAATTATAATACATACGTTCAAAGTACATACTTATTACTAAATGAGGACTGGCTTAACAAATGGCAGTCTGAAAATTTGAAAATTCTTTGATTAATAGTTGTCGCGGCTGATGCTGAAATTTGGACTGATTTTGATATGAATTTTTAAAAAATTTTTGGGGGGTATTTTTTTCCCGCTTTTTTTTTACGGTTGAGTTAGTGTTTAAGGTTAGAATTGGTAATTAAAGAGCATATATGGATTTTAGCAGTGCTCATATTTTCAACCCACAGCTCAAAATTTCGACAATAATTTTATAATAGTATTTATTGTAGCTGTTTTCAAAAAGTTGTGATCACCTAATTATGGAAATTTTTCTGTTTCTAGAATATTCGAAGCCAGCACTCAATTTTTAGTAATAAGAACTTCCCGATTCTTTGATTTCCCACATAGGTATACGGAATTCATTGTTCACACCTTTTTGAAAACAGCTGTAAGAATTTTGAATGATTAATTGGAGAATCCTAAATTAATAGACTACCATTTTGTTAGACTAGTCAAGTTAACCATTTATTATTTACTGGACTAATACTAAATATGAAAATCTCTAAAATCCATACTGCCAAGGAAACATAATTTGCTAGGCACAATCTTTAAAAATCAGCCCTGTAAGCAATAAACTTGGAAGCTGATGACAGGTTTCCTGTAGCAGCACCCATTTAATCTCAATATGTGATTAAATTTTGTTACGTTCAGGGCTTGAGGTTAGGGTTGGAAATTACATTTTACAAATTTACAATACATGTAATTTCATGTAAGTTACAGTAACATGGATTTCATGTAAATTTCACACGTGATATATAGTACCGGCACTATGAAAAACTCAGCTAGCATTATTGAACTACAGTAGATTTTGCATAAAGTTCACGGACCAGATCGATGTACATATGATCCAACCAATCATATGAGCATATGATCACGTTTCTTACAAATTACATGAAAACCATGTTACAGAAAACTTACGCAAAATTTCACAAAATTACGTAAAATTACGGTAATTTGACAACCCTACTTGAGGTTAGTAAATGTGCAATCAATAATAGACTTGAAGGACAAAAATCTTGTTTTTTGTACATCACTTACTGTCCTAAGCGTAGCGAGAACCTCTACGTACGATACAAAGTGAATGCATATCTATGAAATGTCCGATTGAAAATACCAATGAGATTCGAGAGATGATGGGTCCCGTGAAAGATCTGCAATGTGTGTAACAATTATAATAGTGTATATGTTGCTAAAATAGCGCCTGGCTAAAATTAAGCCCCTGAATTAGATCTTCATGCATGCATTAAGTTATAATTTTAGCCAGGACACTACTTTAAATAAATCGCTACTTCAGATGCAACATATATACGATTCGGATCCATATCAGATTCTAATTTCCTAGGCTATTACATTATCGTTAATAGCTTAGCTACTTTTTGGTATTTCATTCACTTTTATGTAACTTGGCCAATTAAATATCGAGACGATGTTTAACATGAATTTTATTAATTCTTGAATGTTAAAACCATTGTATATTTTTAAACATTTAGGATTTTATTAATTTAAAATATTTCTGACTCAGAAGTTATTTATGTCAAAGCATTAAAATTGCGGCTATGGACTAATAATAAGCCTTTGCTCAAACTCTCATGTACAGTATGTAATTTTATACGTTCGTATTTAACCAGCATATTAAAATAATTGTTAAACTTATCATGCAATTGTTGTATGTCCAGTGTTAAGACCAAGGGAAAGACATCAATACGTCGATGCCAATTTAGATATTGGGCCGTAAGCATAAGGTATTTATACTTCAATACTAACGAAAATATATAGTTTTTATATCAGGAGAGCAATTTATTATATGATCGATTAATCAAAGATATAATACATGAATAAAGAACTCAGACGAAATTCCCAAAATAAAACAGTACAAAGGTATTCCAGAACTAAAAAACGATCACTACTTGCGTATTCATTACTACATCTTGCCCCTTTAGACATGCCCCAAAAATTTTATCGTGCGTAATAATTTTCGAGCTTATTTGAGTCTAAGGGCAATATGTTTAATAAAGTAACTATGTAAATCATTAGATAATATGTTACAATTATTACTAATGGAATATATTACAAGAAAAAAAATGTATTTTAATTAATTACCTGTCAGGCAAAAGATCGATTGCTGAAAAATTTACGTAAAATTAAGCGGAATTTACACATAAGGGTCCATAAATGAAAATAATGACCAAAAATAAAAATTCTTATACATAGCTATAGCAGCCCAAAATCAAAAATTATTACAAATAGGGCTGTTCAATCTCCGAGATATACTAGGCGACTAAGGTATGAGACTTACATAGTGTTGCCCAGAAACAAGGTAGCCGAATTAAAATAATTATACAATGCCACTAAAATAGCTTTAAAATGCAATTAATTTTTTTGCACAAAAAAACTAAAAGTACTCTTCACAAACCTCGTTACAACTTATAACTTTACAAATCTTAATGCATTGATTAAAATGGTTTTTATACATAACTAAATAACACAAATAAAAGATACAATATACCGTAGTCATTTTGTACATTAAAATACTTTGTATTTACTAGACAATTTAGCATTAATAAATATGAACTTAAATAGCTTATTTAAACGATCGATCAAAATTATATTTTTGTGAATTCAACACGGCAAAAATTCTCAAAGTAAAAGTGAAGTCAAAGAGAAGGTCAAAGTCAAGCGAAAGTTATAGTGAAAGCCAAAATATAAGTTAAAGCGAAAGTCAAAGCAAAGGAGAGTCAAAGAGAAAGTCAAAGTCAAAACGAAAATCAAAGTAAACTCAAAACGAAAACCAAGTGAAGGTCAAAATAAAAATCAAAGTTCTAATCATTACTATATTAAGCATGGTAGATAGATGCAAGCCTACAAAAAACCCGGCTACTATTTTTTCCGAGTGGTGCTATGTAAGTCTTATAGTTTAGTCGCCTAGTATAGCTCGGAGATCGGGACAGGCCCTTATCTATAACAATTTTTTATTTTGGGCCGCTACATGTAAGAAATTTTATTTTAGGCCCTTATCTGTAATTATTTCATTTTTGGGCTTCTATGTGTAAACTCCCTAAAATTATTAAAGTAGTGTATTATACGAGTCGAGATTATTTCAGCTGTTTCGGAAATATTACTGCTTATGTCATAACTGGTTTCGAATAAGCCGAAATAGTTTTAGCTATATGCATGAATTGCATGACAAAAACATGAATAAAACCCAGAGAAATCTCAGATTTGCATTCTTTACACGTACGTACGTACGCATTTGGTAAGTTTTCATATTCAAATTAAATATTGTCTTGACGTCATTATGTATAGACTACAAACAGAATTTATCGAACGAATCAAAACTCTTCAGTTCATTAACAATTTGATACTTTAATATTTCATTATAAAAATATTCTATGGCAATTTATAAAAAACGATTATATATTTCTATTTAAATAAAGATTGTTGAAAATTGGGTTAAGCTATAAATAAATATTCCAAATCGATTAGACAATATATTTAAGTAATTAATTCAATAATCTAACATCCATTTTGCATTCGCTATTATTGTTATGCCAGTATGACATTGCACTAATTAGTGCGTAATAATTAGCAAGGCATGCGAAAACAACAAAGAAATGAAAAATTTGATGGGAAGATCCCTGTCACATGAATATATAAATGTATTTTAGAATTGAAATCAAATATTTTTATGAGAAAAAAATTTTTTTAAATAGCATACCCATATATCAAATGATCCAGGATAAAATTTCTCAGGTATCCTTAATATATGTATATATATATACATGATTTAGCATATTTCATTAAATTATACAATGAAGCTTCCATAAATGCACGCTTTCTTATTATTCCCTATGTGCACGTCATTAAAGATCGATCAAAGAGCATGCACTTATGGAGGTTTTCTATATCTATTGATGAATAATCTGCAAAAATAGATACCTTGTTCCATACATAACCGCTCCCACCAAATACATAGTAATTGTTGTTAGCATCCATTTGAAGGAAATAATATTATAGCATATATTTATCTAAATATATTATATTATTTAAGGCTGATAGAATAGAGTAAAAAAAAAAAACGAAAAGATTTATTAAAATTTACCCCATAAAGTATAAGAGCATGGATGACTGGTAAGCCTACGCTGCTACCTTTAAATCATGTAGGTTAGATATTTGTTCAGAGATTAAATTTATATATATTAATGTTCAATTATAAATAAATTTCACATAATGCTCACGTAGTGTTTACATTATATTCACATTGTGTACACAGAGATACTACAAACCTAACGCGACAAATAATGTAGTGCGAAACCATCGAAATTCAGGTGTTCGAAATCGAATAGGAATAGCTACATAAATCTGAAAATGATTTAAACGGATTAATAAAATAGAAATTAAAATAATTGGTAGCTCTCCCACAAAAATCACCCTCTCGTAATTTTTATCCAATTAGATCGGAAGATCAGGTGTAATGAAGTCACGTTAGGGGAAATTTTTTGACTAATTTTTATGGGAATTAAAGATAAAAGAAATGCAGTCATTTTTACGGACCGTTGCAATTCCAAGGACGCAAACCAATGTAGTATATATAATACTTATAGTTCTATTACAATAAAAAGCTTCAAATAAATGAAGCAATTATACATAAAACTATGAACCTTTTACAATAAAGAACAAAGAAACAAAAAGCTTACAGCATTAATTACCATAGTATGAAATAGGAATACTTGTTCCACTATTAAAGTTTTCAAAAGAATCAATTATTAAAAATCTTTATATAAAAACAATAAATAAATGAATAAATAAAAACCGAAATAATTACATGCTTAAACATACTATTCCACAATAATCGCATCTATTCCAGTTCGCACAAACCTATAAAATATAATATATATAATTTATACAATATATACAATACGCAGGCATTATCACAATACGACAATGTATAAATACCGATTCGGAATGACACATAAAAGCATGAAATAGTGTCGAGAAGGTTAAACACAGAAATACACCCAATAAAAAGCTATATTGAACGACGAAATCCCAAAATGTTATTGAAGGATAGGCCGATAAAGAAAAATATGTTGGAATTGTGATTATTACAAATATAAGAGAGCCAATAAGGTGAGACCAGATATTAACTTTAGAAATAAATCTTGATTAGCACATTTATTATCATCAATAATAATAATAATAAAATATTATAATATATATGTACCACTTTCGTTATGAAGATAAAATAATGATCGTATGCATTTGACATATGAATAAGTTGGTCGCCGATAACCTATAAAAGTCATTTTACCAAATGATCAATTTATACTATAATTTTTTTTATATGTGCATTAGCATACCAGTAAGAACATCAACATTGTCTTGCAACCAATGTGGAAGTTCGCTAAAACTACAAGTTAAAGATTTATTTTCTACATCAAAATTAGTATCTGTGTAATCACTATTGTTCATAAGTGACATTTTCTCGTCAATCAAATTTTGATGCGGTTTTCGCTTAAAAAGAGGCATTGAGAAGAATCTTGATTGTTTACTGTCAAAAAGAAAAAGTTAAAATGAAGGCTACAAACAGTAAATAATTTAAAATTTTCGGAAATGGAAAATTAAAAATTGCATTTACATGAAACTTGACTTACTAAAAATGAATAGCCCTGACATGAAAAGTGTTACACACGTATGGGTAAATATGAAATTATTGGAAAGTATGTACTACATCGATCTTTTTTTCTAGCCATACTTTGGGGTAGATTTTTTCGTTTAATGCATGAAATTTACCGTTGCATATATCACTAGTTCTTTGTAAAGTTTAAATTTACTGATCTTTTGTACTAATAGACATAGCTTCAAACATAGACAAATCTCTAACCTTGAAAAAATGATCGCTTAATTAGGAAAAATATTAATGATAAAATTTCTGTCCAATTAGTTTTGGCAGGCATTTTTGACTTCAATAATTTATAGCTTAAAATTTTTATATTATTGTTGTGACGGAGTAGGCGATATTGTCACAACAAAATTTAAATTATATGTAATTTAGAGCCAGAAAGCTACATCATTACATACCTAATAGACAATCATTTCATAGACACCTTATTTCACATATAATTAATTCACTGGCAAGTTAATTTTACAGATGACTAATTCATATGCAAGTTTATTTTACAGATGATTAATTCATAGGCAGGTTTATTTAATAGCTAAACTATTTCACTGACAGCTCATTTCATTAATAAAGTAATTATAGGTATTGCTATATTAGATCAAAATTATTTTTATGGATAGTACAAGTTATAAAACAAACTTGCATATAAATAAGGTGTTAGAGAAACGAACTATTTATGAATAAGCTTTAGAAAATGAGTTAAAAAATGAACGCTGTGAATTGATTATCTGTAAAATAAAATTGGATGCAAATTAATTTGCTATGAATTTAATTGTTAATGAATTAATTTTATATAGAATAAAATATCCATGAAGCAATTAGTAATGAAATGAGATGAATCAAGAGATAATAATTTAACTCTATTGAATTAAACACATCTATTTATATAATTAATTATTCAATTTAAAATATCTATTGTAATTATTTAATAAAATCTATTTTATCATACAGTTTATTGTGATTATAAAAGTTAGACTTAACTCTGCAATGTGCTTATACTAATATTGGCAGAAGAAACTATTTTTGGTAAATGGTGAAAGACGAAACTAAACCTGAAGAAAGACAAAGCTCTGGTGAAACCCTGGTAAAGTGAAACCTGTATAGAAAAATATAATGTATAATAGAAAACTAAGAAATAATATATATATAATATATTTAAGATCTATGAAATCTATGAGATCAATACTTTTTGAAGCTTAGTTAATTTAACATAGGCATAAGATGAGTGCAAACAAGTGAGACACAAGATTGGTTAGAAGAAGAGATAGTATTAAAGGTAAAAGGATGGCTAATGTCAACTATAGACAACAGTTTTATTATTTATATTAAGTTACATATACTAGAATTAGTACTTTATTAAAATTATCCTAATTTTGTAATCTTGTAATTAGAATTATATAATTTGTATACATTAGAACTGTCTTAATAAGCTGAATTTAATGATAGTTATTTTATCCAATTTGGTTTAGTATATCAAAGTTATAGATAAAAAATATAAAACTTTTAATATCAATATATACAACTTTATAGTTTTACTTTACTTCTCTATAATACAACTAATATAAATTTTTATAAATATATTTCAAAAAATACAAATATAAAACATAAAAATATAGCTTTAGATCTAAAACATAAGCAAATCATAGAATTCTATACTTATTATACTTTTCAATATACATTAAACTAAATTAAAATTTTCTATAATATATAATAACTTAAAATTAATATATATAATAATTGATTTAACTCTGTTATTTTAAATTTTAAACATACTTCTAGTTATTATATATAGAATAATATAGATTAAGAATAAACAATTACACTATTTTTTTTATATATATATTATAATCTTCTAATAATTTATATTTATTCTAAATTTCAAGAATACAATAAATTAACAATATTTTATATACTATATAATGTCCAATATATTACACTTCAGTACTAACATGGTCAATATTATAGTTAATTTTACTAAATTAATCTTAATAACAAATCAAACTAAGTTCTATATTCAAGAATTAATTTTGCAAATATAATTATATATATTATTTTTTTAAAAAGAATTTTTTATTATTTAGACTGCTAGTTTATACTATTTAACCATTACAAGCATATTTGCAATCAAATTATAGCTAAAACTATTAATCTTATTAATACTATCAAAAACAAAAAAATTATAGAAAAACAAATAATATATATAATTAATACTATACTTATATATTACTTTTTATATATAAAATAATTATATTTATTTAACAATCTAATATTTAAAATATTACCAATTTGTATATATAAGTTACAAAACATGAACAATATTTAGCACTTCTATATTTTATTACTAAATTTATAATATATACAGCCTAACAGATGTTCAAACTAAAATTATAAATTCTTATTTTATATAAACTAAACAACTTATTAACTAATACAATATCTTGAACAGGCTATATATTTATCTAACAATATTCTATTTTTTTATAAATATATTTTACTTATTAATATATTTCACTTATTAATATATTTATAACTTCATTATTAGTAGGTTTTTAAACTCGATCATCAAAACAAACAAAATTAACAAAAACTTAGAAACAGTACTATAAGTTCCTTATAATAATATAGCATTCTTTAAAAATACCAAATGCAATACTGATAGTTTTTAATACTATTAGAAAGGCAGAAGCCACAAATAGCTAACTTCAGTTTTAGTATTAGCACAAAGGAGGCAACTCTAGTAAAAAAGACCAAACAAATTTGTTTACTAACTCCGACAATTATAATCTAGTCAACTAAACCTGCTCCACTTAAAGCATCCAAAGGCCATAGATTCTACTTATCCAGTGTGTTTCCTTCGTTTTATTCCAATATAAAATTTAATTTTGTCGAAACCAATTACTTGAAAACTCAGAGTCAATTTTAAACATTTTTCTTAACAAAAGTGGGGCATTACGCTACTCTGAAAAAATCACTAAGCACATATGATCAATCAAAAATTGTAAACACCAAACAAACATAGCAGTCATGTTCCCAATTTAGAAATTTACAACAATTAGCAAAAGAAAACAACAAACATCAAATCATGTACAAAACTAAATTAGAAAGTAGATAGTCAAACAACAAAAATACAAAATAGATTGAGCAAATAAAGTAATCAAATAGAGATAATCAACAAACAAAACCTAATTCAGCAGATGCAAGAAACAGGTGACAAACTGCATAGATACTTGAACTGCAACAAATTAAACCGACTTTTGGAAACATCTATAACTAAAGAAGCAAGTGACTTAAAAACCATAGCAAAAAACTTGGCTCTTAGTGATCCTCAAAAAATTACAACTAAAGATCTTCTACTA